AAACAGCACAGAGCCGGGGGGAGGGCATCCGGGGTCATCTGAGTGCAGCGCGACAGGATTTTCAAAATAAAAAACTGGGACACTCGGTTTGTGGAAGTTGGTGAAAATAAAATAGTGAAAATAAAACAGTGAATCGAGTGTGAAATTAAAGAAAACTGTTCTGTCCATTTATGACGAACGTGAGTCTGTGTCATATTTTCTTAGTGTTTTGTCGTTTTGAATCAGATTTTTTTTTTTTTTTTGACCCAAACAAATGTCAGTTTTTGTCTCTTTACTGTTCAGGATCAGATTGGTCCAAAATATTGACACTGGGACATTTCTTGGGACAAACGGACACGGGCGACACAACGTTTCATTGCATCATTTTTATTTAAATACATTTCAAGTGGGTTTTTTTGTCTTCAGCTAAAGTCGTTCGTCTCTTCAGATACAAAGAAAAAAACAGTTTATGAAGTTTTCACATTAATTTAAAATATTTAATATTTTAAATAATAAAAAAACAAACCAAACGTGTTTTGAAGCATCACAGAAACCGCAGAAATTAAATAGAAAATAAAATAAAATAGAAAAACAACAGGTCAAATCAGATCTGAAACTGAGTCACATGATGCTCGTTCTGCGTCCTGATTGGACAAACGTCCGGAACCAAAACAAAATAACAACAACAAAATAGAAAAGAAATAAACGACATCAGCCGCTATGTTTTTGTTAAAACAATAAATCTGTGTTATTCTCCGGCACTTTGGTTTGTGGGCGGAGCCTCGTACGGGCTCGTACTGTTAACCACCGGGAGGGTCTGAGGCCAGGACAGATCACTAGATGACTCAAACATGCATGAGTCTAGAACCTCCTCGGTCTGAGTTTCAGAATCGCGGCGTCGACTCGTCTCCGTCGCTGTTTTCCCTCCGACTCCTGCCCGCCGGCCTCCGCTCCAGGTCCAGGTCCGGGTCCGAGTCCCTGCCCCTGTACCTCTACATTTGTACATGTTTATTTGTATATTTTCATTGGGATGTATATGTGTGTTATTTTTATATTTGATTACGTGTCATTTACAACAAAGACGCTGAACCCCTGAGTTTTGTTTGTACCATTTGTACGACGGAGTAAAAGGGTCAGATTAAAAACAAGAAATGCTGGCACTTCAAGAATAAAGTCGTAACATTTCAACATTAAAGTCGTTATTTTACGAGAATAAAGTTGTGTCAAAATAAAGTGTTAATATCAGGAGAATCTCAGCGGCTCGTGGAGAATTTGGAGCATTTTGTAAAGGAGAAGAATCTGTGTATCATTCGTTCATTCGACTGAATCAGGACTAAACCAGGTCCAGAACCAAACCAGAAAGACCAGGACTGAGACCGGGACCAGACCAGGACTGAAAACGGTTTAGTCCTGGTTTAGTCCTGGTTTAAGTCACAGAAATGGGAAATGGTGTTTCTGTGACTTTAAAATGTGATGCAGAACTGAACCAGGACTGAACCAGGTCTAAACCAGGACTGAACCAGGACTGAACCAGGACTGAACCGTTTTCAGTCCCGGTCTTAATCCTGGTCCTGGTTTAGTCCTGGTTTAGTCCTGGTTTAGTCCTGGTTCACTCTGGAGGCGCAAATAATGAAGAAAATTGTTGTTCATTTTCTTATTTTTGGTTTTATATTGAAAAACAAGTTTCTTCTTCTGACGCATTTTTCACTTTGACTTTGATTTTATTACGACTTTATTTTAACTTCGACTTTATTCTTGTAAAATTATGACTTTATTCTCATAATATTACGACTTTAATGTCGAAATGTTACGACTTTATTCTCGTAGCACCAGCGTGTTGTTGTTGTTGTTTTTTATCTGACCCTTAAACTCTGTTGTACCATTGTATATTTGAAATAAAAAATAAAAAAAAACAGCAAACATTCGCGCCATAAAAACTAGGACTAACCTAGAACTAAACCAGGACTAAATCAGGTTTATCGTGGCCTGAATTGTGCCGATCAAGAGAAGAAAGACGAAAACTTAAAGGAAACAACAAGCACAAACATCAGTCACACAACAAACTAAACTCATGTTCTGATCATGAAGAAAACAGAAGGAACTTGTTCACTCAGACTCGTTCTGTTATTTCAGTTCAAACTGGATTTGATGACGTGAAGATTTGTTCAGATAAACAGATTTGTGACGTTTTAATGATCCAGTTGAGTTTGTTGTGTGACTAATGCGACTCGATGTCACCAAAGCGTCGCCTCTATTCAGACGCCCCCGACGCTCGTGTCTTTGACTCTGTGGACGAACGGGACAAAAATACTTGACGCGCGTCCGTTGCCCTGGAAACAAGAGCCCGGGGTCCTGGACTTTTCCCGAAACAATGTTGGATTGGATCAGAGAGACTTTAGTGTTTTTATGACATAAAACATCAGCGGAGGAAATCGACTCGACGACTGGAGACACTGGATCAGTCCCGGTCTAGTCCTGGTCTAATCACAGTCTAGTCCCGGTCTAGTCCTGGTCTAATCACAGTCTAGTCCCGGTCTAGTCCTGGTCTAATCACAGTCTAGTCCCGGTCTAGTCCTGGTCTAATCACAGTCTAGTCCCGGTCTAGTCCTGGTCTAATCACAGTCTAGTCCCGGTCTAGTCCTGGTCTAATCACAGTCTAGTCCCGGTCTAGTCCTGGTCTAATCACAGTCTAGTCCCGGTCTAGTCCTGGTCTAATCACAGTCTAGTCCCGGTCTAGTCCTGGTCTAATCACAGTCTAGTCCCGGTCTAGTCGTGATTTAGTCTCGGTCTATTCAGGGTCTAGTCCTTGTTTAGTCCTAGTTCAGTCCTGGTTCAGTCCTGGTTTAGTCCCAAGACCCGGGACCCGACCCCAGAGAAGAAGAAGAACATGGAGGACGGTTTAGGCTCAATCCATTTATATAAACAACAAAACAAATATAAAACAATAAATAACTCTGACAGAGAGAGGAGCGCCTCCTGCAGGACAGAGAGAGGAGCGCCCTCCTGCAGGACAGAGAGAGGAGCGCCCCCTGCAGGACAGAGAGAGGAGCGCCCCCTGACAGGACAGAGAGAGGAGCGCCTCCTGCAGGACAGAGAGAGGAGCGCCCCCTGCAGGACAGAGAGAGGAGCGCCCCCTGCAGGACAGAGAGAGGAGCGCCCCCTGCAGGACAGAGAGAGGAGCGCCCCCTGCAGGACAGAGAGAGGAGCGCCCCCTGCAGGACAGAGAGAGGAGCGCCTCCTGCAGGACAGAGAGAGGAGCGCCCCCTACAGGACAGTCCAGGTGCAGAGAGAGGAGCGCCCCCTGCAGGACAGTTTGGCTGCAGGGATCTGAGGAGGCTTCTGTTTGGAGTTTTTCTTCTTTTCCTGTTTGTGCGACGAGTTCAAGTTCTCCAACACCTGAGAAAAGAGAAAGAGAAAGAGAAAGAGAAAAAAAGGAGAAAAAGAAGGAGAAGGAGAAGGCAGGAGATTAGGACGGGAAGGCGGGAGGACGGGGGGACGGGAAGGCATCTGACTCACCTGGTGCCTCAGGGCCTCCTGATGCTCCTGAATCACTCTGAGGTGACGACACGACTGTTCCTGAGTCTGACCTGAAGTCTGAGGAGACAAGAACCAGGACTGAACCAAGACTAAACCAGGACTGGACCAGGACTGGACCAGGACTGGACCAGGACTGAACCAAGACTAAACCAGGACTGGACCAGGACTGGACCAGGACTGGACCAGGACTGGACCTGGCCTGTACCTGTGCGTGGTGGGAGGGCATCCGGCTGAACATGAGGCTGTAGGGGCTGTACTTGGTGTTCTGGTCCACGTTGGTCCTGAGCTGGAACAGCGTTTGCTCCAGATGCCCTTCCCACTGCTCCTGCCGCTCCTGCACCAGCCGCACTAGCACCTGGCTCAGGGCCGAGGCGCCGCAGTCCAGCGGCGAATCCACAGACGAGACGCCGACGGGGACGTCCCAGCGCCTCCTCAGCTCCACACTCACCTGCACACAGCAGAACCAGGACTGGACCAGGACTAAACCAGGACTGAACCAGGTCTAAACCAGGTCTAAACCAGGACTAAACCAGGACTAAACCAGGACTAAACCAGGTCTAAACCAGGACTAAACCAGGACTGAACCAGGTCTAAACCAGGTCTAAACCAGGTCTAAACCAGGTCTAAACCAGGACTAAACCAGGACTAAACCAGGACTAAACCAGGACTGGACCAGGACTAAACCAGGACTAAACCAGGACTAAACCAGGACTGGACCAGACTAAACCAGGACTAAACCAGGACTAAACCAGGACTAAACCAGGACTAAACCAGGACTAAACCAGGACTGGACCAGGACTAAACCAGGACTAAACCAGGTCTAAACCAGGTCTAAACCAGGACTAAACCAGGTCTAAACCAGGACTAAACCAAGACTAAACCAGGTCTAAACCAGGACTAAACCAGGACTGAGAGGGTCTGACCTGGGAGCAGAAGTCGGGGCTCTGTGCGAGGGCGATGGTTTTAGGAATTCCAAACCTGAGGAGACACAAGAGCAGAGCTGATCAGCCACAAGAGCAGAGCTGAGGAGGACTCGTGTTTACAGTTTGGACTCATTTGACTAAACGACACTTCAGATTTTTATATTTAAGAAAAAAAAATTACAACATTCTTATTCCAAGTTTGTACATTTTTTAGGTTTGTAAAAGCTGACGTCACATGACAGAAACTCGTCTAACGTCGCAGAGATTCTGACGTGACAAAAACAAACAGAAGAAAATAGTTTTATTTTGTGTCAATCAGGTTTAAAGTGTCGCAAAAATGTGTTTCTTGTGTAAAATGTGTCAAACTTTTGGACCAAATCCTCCCAGTGACATCATCAGTGTGACGTCGTCAGTGTGACGTCGTCAGTGTGACGTCGTCAGTGTGACGTCATCAGTGTGAAACTCTGCTTCATTTTTAAGTAGTCACCTGTAGTCACCTGTCTCACCTGTAGTCACCTGTAGTCACCTGTAGTCACCTGTCTCACCTGTAGTTACCTGTAG